ATGCAGCTGCCATATTTTCCAAAGTTTTGTATTTTCTGAAAGTACATAACCATATACGATCCCTCTGCAAATGGCACTTGTGTTAACCCCATCACAAGTTTCTTTGTCCACCATGTTGGCAATATCAATTTCAGAAAATTTAAAAGTATCATTTTACAGTACAACATCCACACCAAATTTCATCAAAATCTGTCCAGCAGTTCTGTAGTTGAATCATGTGGACAGATGGATGAACATGTTTTCATTCAGTGCACATCATGCAAAGAAATAAAGTCACATCCTTGTTAAGTCGGCTTCAGTTCAGCCTTAGAAGAAGTACCACCATCAATGCTGTTTAGAGAAATGATCACTGTTCAATCTAAGAATTATGTGACACCCATACACTAGCCAAAATGACACAAAATACTCATACCCTTCCAAACAAATTAAATGTATATGCATTACAGTGCTTACATCAACAATACTGTTCCAAAAAAACTAAGCAAACATCCCGCAAACATTTTTAACTGAATACGTTATACATGCATTGAATTTCTGAACTTTTACAGCACATAAAACAGGTTACATGCTGAAGACACACACACGAACACTACAAATTTTTGTTGTAGTGTTATAAAGAAGGAACGTTTGAAAACTAGAAATGGAAACGTCACCTATAACCCCACTAACCTGCTTCTGCATCCTTCAACTCTTGAGAAGATGGTAAAATCAGATCTTCTGAAGTGTCACTCATGTTCAAAGCTTTAGGTTACAGATCCTTCACATTAACTGAAAAAATAATAAATAAAATGATGGGTTGCCTTGGAAATGCCTGTTTAAAATTTATATATATTATGAGATTTGAGATTTCCACAGCAGTGAAAATGTGCAACTTATGTTTTGTAGTGTGCGCTGTCTTGGAGGTTCTTAAAAAGGCATTGCATCCCACTCCTGCGATGCAGACGGAGGTGATGCGTTCCTCCGAAACACTGGATGCATCCTATAAGACTATATGGCATCACGACCTAGAGGACCACAATCCACTAGCTCAGTTAGTAGGGGCCTGAAAACCTGGGTTAAGATTCCTGGAATTGATACATTTTGTGTACAGAACCGAAAAGGCTCAACAAATTTGCAGATACTATGACAAGACCTAGTCCTGCGCAGTAGCCGCGCGGTCTGAGGCAACATGCTTCGGACCAGCGATACGGAATGCGCGCTGGTTCGAGTCTCAGGGGAGAAGAAAGATCTACCTTTATGGAAGCCACACTGCTCCTCTTGTAAAATCTCTTCTACTATGGATTGGAATTTTGATCACATTATTGTCATATATGTTTTATATGATGCATATAGGAGAGACAGCACTCTATAATTGGAGCATTTTCTTTTGCCTACTTTTTTGTGTATATTTCTGAATCTTGCTATTTTCTATTCCTCAGGTATCTTACCTACATTCCATGTATTGTTCAGCAATGTTTGAACCTCTCCTTAAGTTTTGTGCTTGCATATTTTATCAAGTGTCACCTATCACACTGACTAATCTATGATGGAGCAATGCCAACCAACCACAGTGCAAACTTTACCTCTGTTTTGCTATTAGAGAACTCAAAAATGTCAACATCAACTCACAGCTTTCTAATTAGACAGAAATACTGGCACCCTTGCTTCATAGACATCTGACACAAATCACTGTTGTTAATGGAGCAGACACAAACAGACAACTACAAGGAGATAATAAACGGAATTATGATGTAAGCTGTATGCTTACATGACTCCCACATTGGGACTTGGAAAATATCAAGTGCCTGATTTCTTTTGGATAGAGTGCACATTTCAGGGGAGAGTGACAGATGGGCATGGAGCATCTGTGGAATAATGCCAAAATAAGTGAAAAAACTAAAGCACTTGCTAAACTTATCTAACCAAACATTCCCTCCAAAAATACTGAAACTCAAAAGGATGATGCACTACAAGCCTATGAGATAAACAAATACCAAAAAAAGTATATGAAAAAACAGCTTGCTTTAGCAGTTACCTACACACTGAAGCTGATGGTTGGTTGTAATACTTGTTCGGATTATCACTACTCTGCCACCGATTGTGGCTCTGGGCCATAAAACTATACTTAACCACCATACATACTTCATAAGGAAATATCAATACGTTTATTGCAATGTTTACAAATTCACCTATGCACTCCCCAACACTCTACACATGCTAGAATACAAATGCGCGTTAAATCAGTACACAGTCAATTTCAAAATAATGTTGAAAAGTCGTTCGCTCACTCCTTTGTCATGTCATAACATTAAATTTGCCTAGTAATGAAACATGTGGTAACAAACTACAAATCACTTACACGTACTTTCCTCAACAAGCCTTTCGCAGTGACCACCGACGCAATCTGCTACCATTAAAACACTTCAATAAGTAAATTAAGATTCCACAAACTCAATCACAAACACTGTATATAGCCTCCATCACAGATTATTTGTAATTATGTACATCACAGATATGAAAACTAGGAAACCGTATATACCAAAGAGTATCTACCTACATTATTGAAAATTTGACCTCAGACAGAAATTGTCACACTCAGCTTACAGCAAAATATTTTATGTGAACCACAAAGCTTGTAAGATTTCAGATTCTTGCTGCGGTTAATTAGATGTCCTACTGGGATGTTGCACTATGTAGATTGGCAGAAGTTCACAGATGTATCAGAAGCGCTTGATGCCTTCATCGTTGCCCTATGTAGAAAGAGTAAACACTCCTGAAATGTTGGAAATTTATTTCCTTTCTACGTAACTATACTTAACTTTCGGATGTATGTAATGTTTACCTTAATAAAAAATATCTTGAATTTATTAGAACCTGTATCTTAATATCATTTTCTCTTCTGAAATAACATACTATAATCACATACCAAAAACCACTGTTACAACTCAAGCTTCATAAACAACAATTTTCTTCGTTTGGACTCTTTCCATAAAAAGGGATAGTATATCTGGCACGATACTACAGTTTCAGTTTTAACTACCAGGGCCCAACAAGGGTAAAGAGCACTATATGCATTACATTTCACATTCATGTAAATGGAACAGAGAAAACGAACAATGCCAAGAAATGCCCCGCTTTCACGGAATGAAAAGGCCGTGTGCGCAAAAGCCTGCCGTAGGTCCCTATCGCAAGCATAACGAATGTATGTGAGATTTTAAACTTTACGGCACTGACGATAATGATGATGTTCTGGGTTTTGGTGCCATAGGACGTTCAACCGCAGCATCAAGGTGCCAACCAAAACACATCATCAAGACTGGGTCTCCCGCCACCTTTCTTTGACTCATTAAGGATGATTTTTCCCTTAAATGCCAAGTGTTTACAACATTCCATACAAGTGTAGGAAAGTGTACTCTGATTAACCCACAAATATGTGCCAAGGACAGTAATTTGCTGAACTGCTTTAGAAGAATGAACCAATCATGACATGGTAATATGTTATTAATGTTTGTACCTTGTTTTTACTTCGTAATAAATGTATAACTACAGCCTGACAATGTACACTCTTTATAAATCTGTAGTGTAGCACCTCCTTGTGTTATGTAAAATTCTTGATTTTTCTGCATGTTACTTTTCACACAATCTGATCACTGTACGTTTACTTGAACAACATGTTCCAAACTAATGAAGCCATCATCACGTTCAGTTTCCTGCTTCTAGTACTTCATTGTATTTAGGACATCGATGTTTTTATTTTCCAACAATTTCTGAAAGTATAAAGTTACATTATGTGGGGAGTAAAGATGCTATTTCCTTTTTAAAAGATGCATTTCTTGCAAAATTTCCTGGTATTAAAATTATTCAAACCACTGAAACTGAAATAAATACAGCATAATAAGCATAATACATTCCCTCAAATAATAAAACTTATCAGGTTATGGTGAAGAAACATGTAAAATATAGAAACTTTATTAAGGTTTAATAAGTTGCCCATTGTCCCACATTTGTAATCACCGGCATTTTCCCAGACAGTTTTAAAATCTCAGCAGTAAAACCACGACACATGAGTGGTGACAAAAGAAGTATGACAAACTATGGGCCAATTTCACTATTAACTATAAGATTATATACAACAGGTTAAACCATCATATGCATACTAACAACATATTGGTCACAGAACAATTTGGTTCACTGAAGATTGAATATTAAAGAAAAAAATGTGTTATAACCTATAAACAAAAAATGCACGTTGGAAGAATATTCTGTGATACAGCAAAAGCTTTGGACATTTCGTGAACTAAATTACATTTTTATGGCATCCAACCAGATCCTATCAAAGAGATGGAAAACAAAATATTTAAAAATAATCTCCTAAATACACTCAGAATGTTTTCTCAGACTGGGAAACAATAAAACATGGAGTTCCCCAAGGACAATTCTAGGACCTTATATGTAAATGCCCTTCCTCCAATGATACAATAAATAACTTATCAAAACCCAGATCCACTGATGACCCGAGTGTCATAAATGATAGCAAACATTTTGATGATTTCTGTAACATGTCAAACATAGTTCTGTGTCATATGAGTAAATGGTTCACTGCTAACAAGCTGGCCTTGAATCTAAAGGAAACAAAAGTAATACAATTTATAATAAATAATTCACCAAAATATGTGTGAAGTATTGGTTATAATGGAAAGTTATAGTTAGCAAATAAGATATTTCTTTATAGGATTTGAGGTTTTCATGGTAGTGAGTGTGAAGATGGCTGTCTTCTGGGTTATTGTGCCATGTAGTTTGGTATAAATTCACCGACGTTTCAGAGGTCCTTGCTGCCTCCATTATCAGGTCGTTAAGTAAGCTGCGCGAGTGGAAACACTAGAGTACACACATAGTTGCATAGGCGAAAAAATATTACACGGCACAGCCTGCTGTAACATCCTTAACAAATTTCTGCACTTACGTGGTTCTTAAAGTTTGCGTTGTGAACCCCATTCTTAAAAAGGGAGAAGTTAAGGATTCCAGGGGAAACACAAAGTATTCCTCAGCATAATTAGTAGAAAAATGATTAATTAAAAAAAAAATTAAATGTTAATTTTTTATTTCTTAATTATCATCATCTTCAAGTCACTTTTCTCCAAAATACATCTGCTTTTCTAATTTGTCAATAGTTCGTCTAACATTATTACACGAAATATTTTAATTTAATAAGCTAAAGTGCAACATTTATTTTCTTTACTTCTGTATTTTGTAACTCATACGTAATGTATTCAATGTAGAATAGGGAACTGAGCCCATTTTCATACATAAGTAAATGAATGATAATAATATTTATAAAACATTTGAAAATATAAAATAAACTGCTCTGAACAAGGAATAGAGGTAGAGCATTTGAAGATTACAAGAGGAAAATAAACTGAAGAAGACACCACAGAATTAAAAATGGCTATGTTACTATAACTTATAACGTCATGAAACACCAATAGGCGTAACAGTCGATTTCAACTTTTCCTTGCCATTCAAAACGTGGTGCGTTGTTTTTAAAGAATTACTACAATGAAATTATATCTTAAAATTTGGGGACAGTATAAAAAAAGACAAATGACTTCCAGAATTTGTAGATTGCACTTTTAGAAATGACAGCCATTTCTCTCACTCGGAGTACCTCATCACCTTGCAAAGAATTATGGTCCCAGTAGGATTCAGGGTTTTCGTGGCAGTGAGTCTGAAGACGGCTGTCTTCTGGGTTGTTGCGCCATGTACTCTGGTAGGAGTTTACAGACGTTTCAGAGGTTCAAGTGATATGAAATTATTTTCTGCAGAAACTCAACATTTTACATCCAAAACAAGATCATTAGAATAATGGCAGGCACTAAAAGAGATCCTCATGTAGAGAATTGTTTAAGAAATTTAATATTTTTCCATTAGCCAGAAAATTCTTGCTCTCATTATTACGAACTATATACGCTCAATCCAAACGTATTCTCTCTGTTGATGATATGGATTGATCTGGGAAAATTCAACAGACAGTAATAAAGTAGTTTACATCCAAAAGAAAATAATTTGAAAAATGGCAGGTGTTATGAGCAGAGCATATTTTATAAAATTATTTGTGAAATTTACTATATTCCACTTGCATGTGAATTCGTACTCTGTTTACTATCATTTGTGGTGGAAGACTTGGACAAATTTAGAAGAAATACAGATGTAAATAATTTAAACATAAGATATAAATACGACCTCTATATGCCAAAAACTATCCTCACTAAATACCAAAATACTATATAGGTAACAAGTTATTCAATAATCTTACAATATTGATTATCCTACTGAAACAATGTCTAAATTATCTACAAACATCATTTAATCTCAAGTCAGTAGTTAGTTTCCCCCCAAGAATTCAAAATTACTCCAGTACTGCCATTGTTAATGTTTTTATACATTTCCGGGAAAGATCACATTCGGTCACATTTTCACAAAAAAAAACATACCCCTTCCAGCCATTGTTTACAGTAGTTTTATGACAAATATGGATAGATGGCAGCATAGCACATATGTGACGTCATAAGCCAGTTCTTTACCGATCTCTATGATGGCGTGGTCAAAATTATTTACCATTCTCACAGGCACTACTGCTACACAGTCGAGGTATTGATGGTAGTTCGAGCTTCGACCAACAGATGTCGCCAGTGCACGGTCAATCTCCAGAATACATTGCTAGTACCATAGAAAATTAACTGTACATCTCCAACAATCGATTACTCCGTTCATTTAAGAACGGTGTTTAACGACAGAGCTCACATGTCATCAATTAAACTGGAGAAATCATCATGAAGGCGGAGATCGTAATCTATTTTAAGGCATTGCTAAATAGTATTCTGGACAGACTGGAGAAAACCATGAAAACAATCACTCAGGATTGGCAAGTCTAAAATTTTGTGTCTCCATCAGCCTGCAGGTTAATTTTATTTCTACAACATGTCGTGTCATCTGTCTGTCTAAAATTTCATGTTTGAAACTGCTGAAAATTGTCGATTTCGTTCCTAGAATAATAGTTCCTGCATGGAAAGATTTATATTTGGTCCTTGGCGGTCAAATATAACCCCTACTTTACATGAAGTTATTGTCACTGTCCTAAACAACTTGCTGTACATACGAACGATACAGATATTGTTAGGATATAAATTTTTTATCTGAAACACATCAATATGATGAATTAGCATGCGAGACCAAATATTTTCTGTCTGTGCAGTGTGACCACTTTGCAACGATAAATTTTCATCTTGAATAAATATAAATTGAGGCCGACAAGGAATGCAAATTATCAAACAATGAAGATTTCTGTCTTCTGGGTTGTTGCGCTGTGTAGTCTGATAGATGTTTACCGACGTTTCGGAGGTCATACTGCCTCCATCATCAGAGTATGAAGATTTCTGTCTTCTGGGTTGTTGCGCTGTGTAGTCTGGTCGATGTTAACCAACGTTTCAGGTATTGTTGATTC